TCCCCTTTGCACCCCCCTTGGTCAAGACCTTTGCCCCCCCCCCCCCGAATGTCCATTGTGGTGTCGACTCTCCGGACTCGCCGCTTCTCCCCTTGGGCATCGCAAACACCCATCTGCTGCAAGACAACTAGCCTTGTGGCCGTCCCGTACTTGCCAACTCAATATCGAGTAAAAAATTTGCCGTTATACCTCTCCGACAAGCAGTTTGGTACAGTCGCTCCTGAACCGTTGACTCGAGAGACTGGCATTACCGCCTCGCAATTTGTCGCTCTCTGATCCACGACTTGGGTCTCTTTTTCTCCCCCTCTACTCGTACCCGACAATACCGCCAAGCTGTCTTCCCCAATTCTCCTCCAGCGCACCGTTTCCTACGACGCGGGCACAAAACCTCCGCGTCGTGGAAGCATATATCTAGACATGGCCGACCGAAATAGTTCATCCCGTAGGAGAAGATCGAGCAGCATTCTGCAAGTCTATCATGAGCCTCCAGAGACGCTTGAGCAAATCAGTGACCAAGCTGTGCTGCCCAACCTCAACGCCAATTGGACAAGTGCAAAAGGTATGAATGAACCGACACGAAGCGAGGAACTAAGCTTGACAACGCCACAACTGCCCCTACATGGCAAGACATCCAAATATGCTTTCATCTTTTGTTGCCGGTGCTCTTGACCGGTCACGCGTGGCAAGGTGTGGACGACGCTAACACGCTCGAATTTCTATTCTAGGAGCCTGGACCATTCACATTGTTCTCATCGCCGCCCTCAAGATTCTCTACGACATTATCCCTGGTGTTTCCCAGGAGACGTCGTGGACCCTCACCAACATGACGTACATGTTTGGCTCGTACATTATGTTCCATTACGTCCGCGGTGTCCCCTTCGAATTTAATAGCGGCGCCTTCGACAACCTAAACATGTGGGAACAGATCGATAATGGCGCCCAATACACCCCGACCAAGAAGTTTCTGCTTAGTGTCCCCATTGTGCTGTTCTTGCTCAGCACACATTACACTCACTATGATCTTGCATACTTCATCATTAATTTCTTGGCTGTATTAGCCGTCGTCATTCCTAAGCTGCCTTTTGTACGTCGCCGCTTATATCTGATATCAGTCCTGCTGCCGTTGGCCAAACCACTAACTTTTTATAAACTTTTAGAGCCACCGGATGCGATTTGGCCTGTTCTCAGGACCTCCCGAGGAGGATTAGTACTACGGGTCCGATATTGCAGCGCGTCAAGTGACGCTTAGTTAATGTAATTGATTTTTTGGTCTGTATCTAGGAGGGGGGCGGGGGGCGGCAGGTCAGAAGGTACTACCACAAATGCTATCGAGAAGACTATACGCAAAAAGGTGGAGTTTGCGGCGAAAGAAGCACATATACAACAGCGAGCATTTTCCGGGTGCGTGGCTCCGGCCACGAAGGGGCTTTTGTCGTTAGGCCGTGGCTTTCGAAGGGAAGGGATTGGATCTTGACACAGCAGCGTTCTATATTGCTCCTTTATCATTAAAACGCCACCGGCGAGTTAAATACGTCTCATATTCTACCTCTCCCCCCATTTGGAAATATTTCCGTGTGGCACCTAAGATAACGTGACGTATAGCCTAGGGACCAAATGCCCCTGTCAAAGAAACCTTAAACATCATAAAGTCTCAATGCGGACAAAGGGGGGACGGAGTTTAGGAAACGGCTTCTCACTCAACCACCGTCGTCAACACCGATGAATCTTCGACTGAACACGCTAAGTGATGGCCAGCCCCCTTCACCGCGACTCATGACATACTGCTTGTCAAACCCCGCGACTTTCTCCTAAACTTTATTTTCTTGGATGATGATGTTGGTATACAAGATGGACGGACGAACAATCACTCATTCTACAATCAGTCACCTGCTTGCTATTCCCCAAGTGCTCCTATAAGAAGCTGATTTGTTCCCCATTTTCATTTGCCTTTGCTGTCTTTTCTTCGCACGCCCTTTGAGGTCTGACTCCTTTATTTTATTCTACTCTTCTTTGGTGTTTGACTCTACATAACGTGTTTCAACATGAGGGTCGTTGCCATTCTCGCCATCACCGCTTTCCTCAACGGTCATGCCCAAGCCCAGGCTCCAGCGGTGCATGCAAAGCCTGGAGTCCCAATCCAGAAGTGGAATGATACTGGCTCTGTCCTGCCCCGAAGCGAAGGCCAGAAGCGGAATAACACTGGCTCTGTCCTGCGCCGGAGTGAAGGCCAGAAGTCGAATGACACTGGTTCTGTCCTGCCCCGAAGCGAAGGCCAGAAGCGGAATAACACTGGCTCTGTCCTGCGCCGGACCTCAGGTGTCTGCTATTGCCCCCAGTGCCGTTACAATACCAATCTTTGCACTTGCAAGGAGCCTCCCCTTCCCGAGTGTGTGCTGAAAGCGTTTCTTACCAGGACAACTATTACTTGGAAGACAGCCACGTGGAGAGCTGCGAAGACGCATAGTAACACTGGCCAGCCTACCGATACCGTGAAGGTCTCTGGCACTTGGAGGCCAACTAACGTTTACACCAATAGGCGTCTGTTCATTGATGATGAGATTCTCACCCCGACTAGGTCAACTCAAATCAGGAAGTCTACTGGTACTGGCAGGCCTACTGAGACGGGCAAGCCAAATAAATCCGGGAAGCCTACTGAGACTGACAAGCCAACTCTTCCCTGGCCAAGTCTTTCCTGGGCAACCATTTCTGGGAGGCCAGCACACGTCCGGAGGAGTAACGATGATGGCAAGCCAACTCTTCCTTGGTTAAGTCTTTCCTGGCCAGTCTGGCCAACTCACACTGAGGAGCCGAGTCACACTGCGAAGCCGGCCTATACCCATAAGCCTACTCACAACACTGAGGAGCCAACTCACACTGAAGAGTCAACCTATACTCATCATAGACCGACTCACACTGAAGAGCCTACTGATACTGATAAGCCCAACTATACTGGCAAGCCAACTCACACTGAGGAGCCGAGTCACACTGGGAAGCCGATCTATACTCATAAGCCTACTCATAACACTGAGGAGCCAACTCACACTGGAGAGCTGACCTATACTTATTACAGACCGAGTCACACCAAGGAGCCTACTGATACTGACAAGCCTACCTATGCTGGCAAGCCAACTCATAACACTGAGGAGCCCACTCACACCGGGAAGCCGATCTATACTCATAAGCCCACTCATAACACTGAGGAGCCAACTCACACTAGAGACTCAACCTATACTCATGATAAGCCGAATTATACCGGGAGGCCAACTTATAACACTGAGGAGCCAACTCACACTAGAGACTCAACCTATACTCATGATAAGCCGAATTATACCGGGAGGCCAACTTATAACACTGAGGAGCCAACCCACACTAGAGAGTCGACCTATACTTATGATAAGCCGAATTATACCGGGAGGCCAACTTATAACACTGAGGAGCCAAGCTACACTGGGAAGCCGACCTATACTCATAAGCCTACTCACAACACTGAGGAGCCAACTCACACTAGAGAGTCGACCTATACTTATGATAAGCCGAATTATACCGGGAGGCCAACTTATAACACTGAGGAGCCGAGCCACACTGGGAAGCCAATCTATACTCATAAGCCTACTCACAACACTGAGGAGCCAACTCACACTGGAGAGTTGACCAATACTCATGATAAGCCGAATTATACCGGCAAGCCCACGTACTCTGGCAAGCCCACGTACTCCGGCAAGCCCACGTACTCCGGCAAGCCAACGTACTCCGGCAAGCCCACGTACTCCGGCAAGCCAACGCACTCCGGCAAGCCAACTCGCCCTGGCAAGCCCACTGGTCCTGGCAAGCCAACTGGTACCGGCAAGCCAAATTACTCGGTCAAGCCAACCTACACAGAAAGGCCAACCGGTACTGACAAGCCAATTTACTCCAAGCCTGCTTACACCACGGGTCCCATCAAATACACCCATAGCAAAAGGGACCCTCAGCAGCCTGAGTCCGTCCACGGTGACCACTGCACGGAGGATCATCACTTTCCCTGCCACAAGCCCACTCTTTGCGAAAAGGAGCCTCATCACCCATTCTGCACCGAGACACCCCCCCATACTCATGATGGTAAAATATGTGATAAACCTCATCACCCCCATGGTGAAAAGACTTGCGGCGAGCCTCACCATATTATACCGGCAAGCCCACGTACTCCGGCAAGCCAACGTACTCCGGCAAGCCCACGTACTCCGGCAAGCCAACGCACTCCGGCAAGCCAACTCGCCCTGGCAAGCCCACTGGTCCTGGCAAGCCAACTGGTACCGGCAAGCCAAATTACTCGGTCAAGCCAACCTACACAGAAAGGCCAACCGGTACTGACAAGCCAATTTACTCCAAGCCTGCTTACACCACGGGTCCCATCAAATACACCCATAGCAAAAGGGACCCTCAGCAGCCTGAGTCCGTCCACGGTGACCACTGCACGGAGGATCATCACTTTCCCTGCCACAAGCCCACTCTTTGCGAAAAGGAGCCTCATCACCCATTCTGCACCGAGACACCCCCCCATACTCATGATGGTAAAATATGTGATAAACCTCATCACCCCCATGGTGAAAAGACTTGCGGCGAGCCTCACCATCCTAGCAACGGCAAGCCCTGTGATGGGCATGACCACGAGGGCCATGCTTGTCCCAAAGGCTGCCACAACCCTACGCAGGCTCACAACGGAACTGACGAGCTTGCACCCTCTGGGAGCATGATCGGTGGGGATGGCAACTTGCCTGTTGGTACTCATGTACCCATCAGTGCTGGTGAGACTACTGCCATCTCCGACTTGGCCCTCGGCATTGTTGCTCTGGCTGGCTTCCTTCTTTTCTAAGAGGGCATGGCTCAATGGATAACTTGCAACGCTTTTCGTTCCTTGATGGAATACCAACCGGGTTGAGGGCGGGACTAATCTGACAAAATGGACTGGTTGGGGAGTTGTGAGATGTCTATCAAGAGCCTTTTTTACATCTACCGGGATTTTGTTTTGTTTAACGCTTCTGCTGGAAGTTTTGTGCTACTGGAAAAATGCTGGGGTTGGAGAAAAGAGGCTGAAAAAATGGGGGGG